AGCTCGACTAACGTGTGGCTGTTCCCTGTTTGCCTCGCACTGGCAGCCGTTCATCACCGACATTAGACAGGATAGCTGCCACGCTGTGGGAGTGGTGTCAGTCTGCTCAGAGATATCACTTTGATTCCCAATATCTACCTGATGCAGTGAATACAGTTGCCGATTATCCCTCTCGCCATCACACTGATACCAGCGGCTCGATCGTCAGTTTCTCCAGTTTTCAGTGGCATCAACAGATTTCCCAGTTTAACTGTCTACCGTTTGGCTTGCGCAGTGGTCCCAGAGGCCAGAGTATTCACCAAGACTGACTCTGCACCCTGTGGTGAAGATGGTACGTTCGCTCGGCCTACACCTGGTTATTTACCTCGCCGACGTATTTATCATGGCACAGACAACGTCCGACCTGTTTCGCCCTGTTGCTACCATTCTTCATCTGCTGATTGGTCTTGGGTTCGACATCAACTGGACGCAGTCGTATCTGATTCCCACCAGGCAGATACAATACCTGGGTATTCAGGTCAACTCCGTCACCATGGAGTTCTCATGGTCAGACTCGAAAGCATCCACGCTTCAACAACAATGTGCGCGTCTGCTGGCTGCTCACACCGTATGTCTTCGGGGTATTGCGTCAATTGTGGGCATGATGGTGTCCACCATGGTTCCTGCATCACTTAACTATCGTCGCTTGCAGTGTTTGAAAACCACGTTCCTACGGCAGGGTCCCTTTCACACTTACAGATTACTCTCAGTCATGAGTGCCATGCCGAGATTCATTAGTGGATAATGCCAATGTCACCACAGGCGGCTGATGGACATCTGCCGAGAAACAGCTTCACATGAATGTCCCCAGCTTCACATGAATGTCCCGGAACCGCTCACAGCCCAGTATGCTGTCCAGTCGCTAGCGCCTTCTCTATACCAGGGCAGTATTCTCCTGCAGCTCGACTAACGTGTGGCTGTTCCCTGTTTGCCTCGCACTGGCAGCCGTTCATCACCGACATTAGACAGGATAGCTGCCACGCTGTGGGAGTGGTGTCAGTCTGCTCAGAGATATCACTTTGATTCCCAATATCTACCTGATGCAGTGAATACAGTTGCCGATTATCCCTCTCGCCATCACACCGATACCAGCGCCTGGATGCTCGACCGGTCAGTTTTCCAGGATCACCAGATCATGTGACCGAGTACCTGCGACCTGTTTGCATCTCGCACTAACTTTTGACTGCACACGTACGTCAGTTGGCGCCCATATGCACACAGCCCGCATGCCTTCCGTCTCGACTGGTCCTGCCTGCAAGTCTATGCCTTCCCTCCAATCTATCTGATTGGCAAATGCCCGGCCAGGGTTGTTCTACAGGAGATCCCATCCATAGTCATGGTCACTCCGCTTTGGCCCGGCCAGGCTTGGGTTCCAGCTCTCTTGGCACTCGTAGTGGACATTCCGCGTGTACTGTCAACCTCTCCGGTCTTGTTCGCTGGTCCAGATCACAAAGTTCACCCGTCAGTACAGTCAGCTCACTTCACCCTGGTCGCATGGAAACTCTCCGGGCTAGCAACAGCCGCAGCGGAGTTTCGGACGACCCTGCCAACCTACTCTTGGCGTCCTGGCTTTCCCTCACCGACCGTGTGTATCAGTCGGCATGGAACACATGGTGTGATTGGTGTGCCACACGGCAAATTGCTTCCCTGGGTGTTCTCTCAGAGGTCCTCGATTTTCTGACCTCTTCATTCCGTCTGGCTCGACTGTATCATACGCTAGGGTTGTACCGGTCAGCCATGTCAATGACGCTTTCTCCCATCGATGGCGTTGTGGTTGGCCCGCATCCTCTGGTGTCTCATATGCTACCCGGTGCATACCAGTTCCGTCCTTCTCAGCCGTGCTATGGCAGCATGTGGAATGTACAGGCAGTCCTGGATCGGTTCCGGAACATGTCCTTCGCGCATGAGTCTCTCAAAGAACTGACTCTCAGGTTGACTATGCTGCTGGCTCTGACGGGTGCCCGGCGTTGCTCTGAGCTGCAGAAGCTCGATGTTCGTTTTATGGACATTATTTTCAACGCTGCTTCATTTGGGATCCCCACTTTTACCCAGAATCAGCGCGTCGGTGATCCAGCCAAGCAGTTTGTCTTCCCTGCTTGCCCTCAGCACCCTCCGTTGTGTGTGGATGCTCTAAGGCAGTATTCTGCTTGCACAGAGAGAGAGAGTTTCCCGCCCGCTGCCGCCGCGTCTGCCAACCCTCTGCTGCTGTCGCTCCGACGTCCTCACAAGCTGGTCTCACCGAGCACCGTTGCCGCTGAGGTGGCTCCTCACTTCCATGTCGGATGCTGGTGTGGACACCATCGTTTTTCACGGCGCATTCCACACGTAGTGCGGCCACCTCCGCTGCCTGTCGGAAGGGAGCCTCTGTACCCGACATCCTCTGGGCCACCGCCTGGGCGCAATCCTCTATATTCCAGAGGTTTTATTCTCGTGATGTTTCACCCTCCTCCTTCTGATGGCACCACCTTCGGTGCGACTGTCCTTGGCTGACAGTCTGTTATTCCGCCGCTCATGATTGCGGCCGATAGGGTCCACGGCTTCAGTCCGCCGTGTTCTTTTCTCCTACACATTTGGGTTTTTCTCAGACCTTTTCCTTTCCAAAGGTCCTGTATATACCTGGTGCACCAGTTTTTCCCAGGTGTTCCCACTCAGGAGTTTGCATTGTCCGTTAACTCTGCATAGTTGACAATGCTAAGTTGTATTCCATTTTGGTATGATCTACTCCACTCGCCGTTCCGTGCGTAAGTTTTATGATAATTCCATCTGTACTCAGTGATGGTCATTCGGTGGTCTGTGCCTGGCATAGTGTGGGCTGATTATGCTTGTTTATCATGCCACGCACCTTTTACTAGAACTTTCACTAAGTCCTTGTGTGGACAGTGTGATAGTTTCTTGTTTCCGCTCAGGGTGCGGAACCGACTTTAAACAAGACATAGTTATATCTCACCGGAAACTCCGACATGCAATTTCCCATTTCACAAGCAATGGAAAATTGTGTAGTGAAGTGGGAATTGTATAAGGAGTTGGAGGTGAGATATAACTATGTCCCACCCACCCACCCTGTTTGGGTTTGTTCTCCATGAAAATAGGCCTGAAGGGCCTTGGATGAGCTGCATCAAGTACAGCTTCATTAGAATATTGAACTTTAAAAAAATGCTGTGTTCGAGCATGAAATCGCGTAAATCGCGAGGGCTAGACATAGTTATATCTCACCTCCAACTCCTTATACAATTCCCACTTCACTACACAATTTTCCATTGCTTGTGAAATGGGAAATTTATGGGTACTCTATGCAGGCTAGCAACGGGTTAATTTTAAACCAGGTTTACCTCATTATTGCTGTCTGATGATCGTCTCGTCACCGTGAAACTCAGAGACACAACGACTTTTTCACCCTCTACTTCTTGCAAGTAGCCCTGCTCTTTGGGCACTGAGCGCTGGTTTGGACAGTACGGAACCTTTCTGTTTTATCACTTAGTTGCAATGGCTACCAGACCACCGTTGTGATGCAAATTATCCACAGTTTCATTGGTCCTACTTGCTTGTGTTCCACTTGAAGAGAACGCTCGAAAGATGTTTCTGAAATTTCTGAGTCCTCATCATGATGGTGGAAGTTTTTCAGTCCCTAGAAGTAGCAAAGTGTACTATTTATATACTTTGAGGATTTCCCAAATAAGATGGGTAACCAGTGGTAGATCTACGTGATCGATGCATAACTATAATTAATATAACTATTAGTATTAGTTGCTTTACTAACAAGTAGCAGCAGCAGCAGCACTAATACCATGCAGCAAACAAACACCACGACTGAGTCTGTAGACCATGGTAGACTGACCACCTCGTATCAACTATCATATATGTGTTGTCAATTCACAATGTTGTCTATTCGGGTTTCCGTTATTGCTTCACACCAGAGATACCAGTTTACGAGAGTTGGTAAAGTATATATTATCTCACAGGACGAGGACAGAATTATTCGACATCAACATTAGGGAGTGGATTCGACTTCTGACTAGATTATCGAAGTTTGGTTATCTTAGAGTGAACTAGAATAGAATGTACGGTACAATGCATGAGCGCGCCCCTTTTAGCTGGGCGCGCATTATTATGTGTATAGCCCGACTATGTACACTATAAAGGGATGTAATTAGATCAAATGTACGGTGGTTTTTATGTGCAGGGGCAGAAGGAGGGGAAACGGGCTACAAATGTGTACGGTACTAATTATAACATGCAGGGGCAGCGGGGAAATGGGTCAAATATGGTTATAAGTGTGTACGTACGAACTACTGCATGCAAGGCTAGGGGTAGGGGGTAATGGAATGTGTACGAATCTCTGCATGCAGGGCTAGGGGTAATGGAATGTGTACGAATTACTGCATGCAGGGCAAGGGGTAGGGGGTAATGGAATGTGTACGAATTACTGCATGCAGGGCAAGGGGTAGGGGGTAATGGAATGTGTACGAATTACTGCATGCAGGGCTAGGGGTAGGGGGTAATGGAATGTGTACGAATTACTGCATGCAGGGCTAGGGGTAATGGAATCATGCCGGGGTCGGGATCCAAATATGGGGGTGCGTATAACATATGACGTATGGTTGCCATGGCATGTGCACACCGTTCCAACCACACAGAGCCAAGCTCATCTAGGTAGTTGTAACCATGCCGGTATACTGCCGGTATGCAACCGAATGCGCGAGATATTCCTATTTTGACCACTACTACTACTAGTACTACAGTGCAGTGCTGGCAACTGAAATCCGACCCCCTGGGCGGCGCGGCTCACCGCCCAGGGGGTCGGATTTCGCACTGTACACCTGGTATACATAAGGACGAAACAGTTCTGTCCGCAGATTGAGTACTACTAGTACATCTGTAGTAGATAAAACTAAAAAACTCGATCGGATAGCATCCTAAAATCTGTCTAACAGTCAACACTCAACAGACAACCGCAACAGTCAACAAAAGACGGTGTGCCATGCATTGTAGACAGAGTCAGTAGGTCGACCACATAGCCTTGTGCAGCCTTGTTGTCCAACTTGATCTACTACTGTCTGTAGTACTGGCATTGGTAGACTCTACATGTGTGAGTTTTTGTATGTGTACTGCGGTGTGGAAAGACTGTTAGGATAAGGACGCTCGTGTAATGCTTGCTTGGATTTGCAGTTTTCCTGTATCTCTGCCGGACAATGTCGACTGCTCCGTGCAATGGTTGCGGCTCATCGAACACAACTCTAAAGTTTATCTCCTGTCTGCACACGCTGTGCGTTCCCTGTGTGCAAAATAACATCGACTTTGACGGATCAATCAAGTGTCCGCAATGTTTCTCCTCCACGCAGCTGCCGGTTGGTGTGGAGCCGCTACGGTCACTGCCAAGTCTTGTGCTCCATGGAAATCTGGAGCTGAGTGAAGCGGTTAATGGTGAGAGTCAGGCGATATCTGCATGCGAAGAATGCGGAGACGATACTCCGGCAACAAGCAGTTGTGAGAACTGCCAAGTGAGAATGTGTGAGGCACACGCCGGCGTACATTCTCTGAACAAAGGAACCAAAGGGCATATTGTGAAACCGCTCATCCAAATTTGCACCTCCTTGTCTACCATGTCTAGCAGTGCAGGATCAACGGGCAAAACGCGTGGCCAACGAAATCCCCAGTGTGCGTTGCACACAAATGATAAGTTGGATCGATTCTGCGTGCAGTGTAACCAGATTCTGTGCCCAAGATGCAAGCTGCCGCCTTCACACAAACAAGATCATCAGGTCTTGGACATCCCCAGTGCCGGTCAAATGTCCCGTGACAAGCTTTCTGAAAAGCTAGCTAGCTGCACATCCGAATCTGATGGTGTCATCGACAAAGCCATGAGAAATGTTAGGAAGAACATTGAAGCACTGAATGAACAAACAGAATGTTCTTCTGCTGAGGTCACCGACTTTATCAAGGAGCAGATTGAAAGATTAAAGAAGCGTGAAGCAGATCTGCTAGCGGAGCTGGATGCCATGAGGTCAAAGAAGCTGATACCACTGGAAAAGCAGCTGAATCGCCTGCAAGAGTGTGTTGCACAGGTGGAGAGTGCTGGGCTCATTCTGCAGTCAGGTTCGGATGATGTTGACCTACTGCGCATGTTTTCGTGGATAGATGGAACCTTGGACAAAGCCATCAAAACAACAGAAGTGGAAGGGGAGCCATGCGTAGCTGGTGGAATCGTCTTTTTCAGTACTAACACCACAGAACTACAGAATGACATTGAGAAATATGGACGTGTTCTGGATGTGGTTGACTGTGCCGTACTGGAATGTCCCGATAAAGTAACGACTCATGATGATGTCGTCCTTCGCCTCCAACTGGATGTTTTTACTGATATTGCCTCTTCTCCAGACACCACAACTGTCGCTTCATGTACTCCTCCCCCAGCCATCGTTGTTAGCCAAGCACAACTTGCCAACATCGCCATTAGAGTCACTGTGAAGAGCTGTGATGATGAGGACGTGTTGAGTTTGGACACTCTGTGTGAATCATTACCTGGACGTGTTCAAATTGATCAGGGATCACTGCCAGCTGGTCTACACACTGTGGCAGCTACTGTTGCTGGTAGTCACTTGCAAGGAAGTCCACATAGTCTGCTGGTTAGTGCTATGACAAAGCCGGTGTTCGATGCAGCCCGCTGTAGTAGGCGTTTGGCAATTGAAGGTGGCGGAGCCTCTGTAAAGTGCATCACGTTTACTATTGCCCATGCATCGGTGTGTACTACACCGATCAGCATGCACACAGGTAGTACTACTACACAGAAAGTGAGGATTGATAGGGCGCTCAACGGCAATATCTTTCTCTCTGCATGCGCATCTGGTTTTCCAAAATTGAAAACCTACCAACAAGACGAGTTGCAGTGTTACGGGTGGTGGGGCCAAACTTCACGTTCATTTCACACTGGCACAGCGCTTGGTCAGCCGTGGCGGACTGGTGACATCATTCAACTCACTGTGGATCATGACCAACATACCCTCACTGGATATCACGAGAGAACGGGTGCCACGGAAACCATTCAAAACGTGACGGGTGACCTGTACTGGTTAGTTTCACTCTGCCACATAGACGATCAAATCACTCTCCTGTAATTATTTCCGGACCATAGTTACCCTCTGCACTAATCCACTACGCAGCTGCTATCATGGCAGTAGTTATGTTTGTGCCAAAGGACTGTGGTCCGTGGAGTGTGGAGATTGGTCCCATTCCTGCTTGCAGTACGCGGCAGTGCCTTGTTACCGGGCTGCATACAGAAGTCCCTTGCTTATTCACTCACGTCTTGCGAGAATTTGCTAAAGGATGTGGGGAAACATAGCCCGGATCCAAGGTACGTGTGTTTGTAAATAGGTGGCTGATTGAAACTGATACTTCACCACTTGTGGAACCATTATGTTGGCACCACTATTGAGATGTCACAGTCTGCGCAGCAAACACATAATATTATACATGTAAAATTGTAAATATACATGATGAGGCCTTTATGGCCGAAACAGCTTGCTGTCTACAGCATTGGATATTACGCTCCTCAGCTTTGGTCTTGTTGAGCACTCTCAGTAGGCTGCTCTAGCGCTGCTGCATCACCCAATGCCCGCTACTTTTTGTAGTTTGAGCACTCTAGCGCTAGAGCGACGAGCTGTCTGTGGTGCCTCCTTTGCACCATGCGGCTGGTAGCTCGGCCTGCTTAGCTCGTAGCTGTACTGATGAGGGCTTTAAGGCCGAAACAGCTTGCTGTCTACAGCATTGGACATGTAACTGTACATGTATTGCCCATGCTGCATTCCACGCAATGTAAATTGTTTGCTTATGAGCAGATTGCGGATATGAGAAGCCACGGACAATTGAAACACAGATTAAAATAGCTTTGTAACATTGAAATACCTGTACTGTTCCAACTAAATGCACTGCAGCAATCAGTAAAGAACCTACATTACGAAAGGTACGAAGACTGTAAACTAAAACAACTAACTAAGAACATGAGAACAACGGAAGATATAGAAAACGAGCACGGCAGGACAGTGCGTAGATTACTAAACTATTCATGCTCGGATATGGTACGGTGCACATAGAGAGTGTGCTCAGGTTACACACTCAGACATGAATGGTCAAACACTAGACACTGACCTGGATTGGACATCCGTAACAGTGGTCAGCTACGGCTAGGCTATAGCATACAATGCATGTAACAGCCATGAATGAGTCTCAGTCGACCTACCAAGCATGACCAACGCTAATGCACTGGACTACAACTATCAAAACAAAAGAAAGACCGGAATATTCTAGAACAAATCTAACATACCTCCCTCACGAACGAAGAGTGATAACTAGCATCTGAGTGAGTCTAAGAAAAGAAAGTGCAAATAACGTAGCAATGAAGTGAACTAACAGACTGCAAGTAGTGTTCACTCAGTACCTTCGACTTCAAGGGGCACAAGCCGATGGACAGCTCGCTTGTAGAATCTTTCAGCCACCTTGACCTTCACCACTCGAACAATACCATCCTTGCCGGGATAGACCTCTGTCACACGCCCAAGCGGCCAGTGTGACCTTGCGGTGTGCTCGTCCATCACAAGCACAACGTCTCCTTCCTGAACGTTACGCTGCTTCTGTAACCACTTCACTTGAACGTTCAGCTTTGGGACGATTTCTTTTAGCCAACGCTTCCACACATCGTCGATGATGCGCTGTACGACCTCCCATCGCTTCCTTGGGTGAACTTGCGTCTCTGTGGTTATGTTGACTTCAGCGGCCATTGTAGAATTGGCATGTCCAACTAGGAAATGCTGTGGTGTCAATGGCTGAAGGTCCTCAACATCTGACGTCATGGTGCAGAGAGGACGACTATTGATGAGGTCTTCGGCGTTAACCAGTGCCGTGTGTAATTCCTCGTCTGTCAAATCAGCTCTGTACAGCACACCCTGTAGCACTCTTTTCATGGATTTGACCATCACCTCAAACACACCGCCGAAATGAGGCGCCCTTGGTGGGTTGAATGCCCACGAGATGCCACGTGACGTCATCTCCGCGGCAAGCCTGGAGGTGTCCAGTGACTTCACAGCTGCTCTCAGTTCTTGATCTGCCGCGACGAAGTTGGTACCGTTGTCGGACACCATCTTTTGTGGCACTCCGCGGCGCTTAGTAAACCGGCTCAGAGCTAGCAGGAAACCGGCAGTATCTAGAGAGTAGACGAGCTCAAAGTGACATGCTCTGGTCAGGAGACAGGTGAAGACACATACATACCGCTTGGCCTGAGATCGACCACGACCCTGGCGTGTGTGGAATGGTCCAGCATAGTCCACTCCGACCTTCGCAAATGGTTGTTGTGGTCCAGACGTTCTGAAATTAGGAAGCGGTGCCATTGCTGGTGTTGCCGTCTTGACGTAGCGCTTCCGACAGAGAATGCACTTGCTCCTGTGCTCTTTGACTGCTGCCTTGCCTTTGACTATCCAGTATTCACCAGCGAGCAGTGATAGAAGGTGGTTCGTACCGACGGCATGATTGGCGTTCGCATCGGCTGCTGCGATGATTAGCTTTGTTGTTCTGTGACTTCTCGGTAAAATCACTGGTGTCCGAATGCCGGGTGGTAGATGGTGTGCAGTGCGAAGTCTCCCATTGACCTTGAGAACACCAACGCCACTAGTGGCGTCTAGTACTGGTTGAAGCTTTTGTAGCGGTGAGGATGCTGAGAGGCCCTTGCCTCCTGTGACATCTGCAAACGTTCTGCCATAAACCTCTCGCTGAGCCAAGCTGATCCATACACACTTAGCACTCCATAGCTCGGACACTGTCAACTCTGGCACGGAGACGTTTCTCCCAGTTGGTAGAGTTACGGACTTGGTCGCAATCTCAGGACTGGCGGCTTGCGTGCTGCGTCGCCTAGCATTGTTGACGAATCGTCGACACCATGCGGTTATCCGTACGAGGTGATCCCAGGAGGAGAAGTGGTCTGGATGAAGACGGCTTGTGGGCAGCTCTTGCGTAGTGGCCACCATCGTGATCTCTCGTTTCAATTGACCTGGAAGCTCTGCTGGCGGCACGATGTGCTTACTGGGCCATGTGGAGGTGGGCTTGGACAAGAAGGCTGGACCTGTCCACCATGTTGCATCATCGGCCAGCTGCGTCGCACCAACACCTCGACTTGGCATATCAGCAGGGTTGACTGTGGTGCTGACGTGACACCATTGACTTGCATTACTGAACTCTTGGATCTCCGAGATGCGGTTTCCGACTTCGATCTTGAATTTCCTGCTGGGCGATCTTACCCAGTACAACACATTCATCGAGTCAGTGTAGAAGTACTGCCGTGATACAGGAACATCAAGTGCCTCACCCACTGAGCAGCTCAACCGAGTGCCTAGCACTGCACCTTGCAGCTCCAGCATGGGGATGGTCTTGCGCTTGATAGGTGTTGGTCTTGCCTTGGCGAGCGCTAATGTCACCTTTGCAGTCCCGTCATCACGCTCTTGTCGGGCGTACGTCACGGCGGCGTAAGCTGATGCAGACGCGTCTGTGAAAGTGTGGAGTGTCAGAGGCTGATCTGAACTGATCTCGGTGAAGCATCGGCTTGCCTTCACATCTCTCAGACTTGGGAACTCTGAGAACCATTGCTTCCACTCTGATGCTTGATCACTGTCCAGAGGATCATCCCAGTCTGTTCCACGGATGCAGGTGGCTTGGAAGAGAATGCGACTGCGGATGGTGAATGGACACAGCTGTCCTCTGGGATCAAACAGTCGGCACATTTGACTGAGCACTCCTCGCCGTGTGAACTGGACGTTGCTCGGTTCTGGATAGATGAATGTGAACTGGTCATCATCTGGCTCCCAGGCGACTCCAAGAGCCTTGTGAGGAAGAGGTGGCAGTTCACTGCTGGCTATGGTCATCATCTTGTTGCTGGCTCGATCTTCCAGTGGGATGGAATCCAACACCGCTTCCGTATTGCTCATCCACATCCGCAAGTGAAAACCACCACGCTGTGTAACTTGTTGAAGGTCACTCCGAGTGACGATTGCAGATTGTACTGACGGTAGCGACATCAGTAAGTCGTCCACGTAGAAGTTGTCATCAATGGCCTTTGCTACCTCGGCGCCAGCCTCGCTGCTGAATTTCTCTGCCGTTGCTTTCAGTGCTCTTCCTGCGAGGTAAGGTGATGCACGCATGCCGAATACAACCCGGCAGAACTCAAAGAACACCACTGGGTCCTGTGGTGACTCACTCCACATGAACCGATGGTACTTGCGATCCGTCTCGCGCAGCTCGACTTGTAAGAACATCTCAGAGATATCTGCGGCGAGTGCGATCGGCTGATGACAGAAGCGGAGTAAAACTTTCACCAAGTCACTCTGCAACTTCGGACCGGTGTGCATGAGATCGTTGATGCACTCTCCGTGCACCTTGGCTGAGCCATCAAACACCACGCGAACTTTTGTTGTGGCCTTGTCTTCTCTGATTACTGGGAAATGAGGCAGAATCCACTGGTCGACACCGGCAGCCTGAACTGCGGACGTTGATACTGTGTGAATGTAGCCCTTCTTCAGGTAGTTCTGAAGCACTTCTGAGTAGCGCAGCTGTACAGTAGGATTTTTCTGGAACAGACGGTGTAGCGAGCAGAGCCGCTTCCTGGCGTACTGTTCCGATCTCTGCTGAATCTTTGGCTTGCTACCGTCGCCTCGCCATGGGATGCCGACAACGAACCGTGTGCCGTTGTGGTGGAGACTTTGCACGGTCATTGCGTCAGCCTCACGCTCATCCGGAGTCAGGTAGGATGATGTGCTCTTGGCCTGCATGCCAACGCTCTCGAGGTCCCAGAACTTGTTGACGGTGTTTATCAGTGTACTGTCACTTACAGCCAGTAGTGATTGTTCCGTCATCTCTGATGCGCTGTCAGTCGGACCTTCGCCGAACAGTACCCAGCCCAACGGTGTCTTCCTGGCAATTGGACCTCCCTCACTGCAGAATCGTTCGGCAAGTGAAATGTGCAGCTGCGGCGCATTGAGACCAATCAACAGATCCACTCTGGACTCGTTGCTTGCAGGTACGACGTCACTGAGATGCGGCCAGCGTTTCAGTTCCTCTGTCCAGTCGAAGGCTGGGACGGGACGCATGATGCGCGGAAGCATCCACACTCTGACGGTCGTTGACGACTGGCCATCAGCGTGACATAGTTCAGCTGATGTATAATGCTCCAGACGGAGCTTCTCTCCCCCCAGAACAGCGGTATCCAGCGGGACGTTAGCTTTCGTTGTCTGTAGCCCGAGCTGGCTGACGAGTTCTGAGGTTATAAAGCTGCAAGAAGATCCTGAATCCAGGAAGACGTTAGCTTTCCTTGACCCTGTCGGACCCTTTGCGGTGGTGGCAACAGTCATGAACGCGACAGACTTGGGCTCGATGGTAGTGCCACATGCAGTCTGGGTGTGTGCTGTCTTGTCGGCTGCTGATGACTCTGTGCTTGTATCCTGGCAAGAAGCTGAGCGGTCCTTGCTGTGTTGACTATTGGCTCCGGTTGTCCGTTGGTTCAACTTCGTGTAGTGTAGCAGGCGATGATGTGGCCTACTACAGATGCTGCACTTGGACTGCTTGCATGACTTCGCCTTGTGGCCTGGGCCAAAGCAGCAGATGCAGACGGGCTTTGGTTTGATGAAGTCCCATCTCTGAGGGATTGTCAACTGCTTGAATTCTCGGCAATCGCTGAGTGCATGGTCTTTGTTGCAGTATATGCAACCGTTGCGGCTGTCTGGGCTCTGGCCACGAATAGTTGCTACAAACGTACGGTCGGGCCGCTTGCCAAACTTGGCTCCACCACTACTTGGTCGCTGTTCAGCCAGCTCGGCGCCACTCATTCGTTCTTCGACCTGGCGCAGACGCTGGACTCTCTTGAGCAGGTACTCTGAGAAGGCACCAATGTCGCACTGCGAGTCGTCGTGCTTTTCCATAAAGCGTGTCAACACTGACTTGGGTACCTTCTGCGTGACACTTAGGTACAACTCTCGCCCTGGTGTGATGCCGCTGGCGCTGAGATTGATGAGTGCATTCCTCAGCTTTACGGCAAAACTCTTCAACCCGTCGAGGTCTCGCTCATTGACGAGTCGCGGCGCTGACATCAATTCTTTTTCATACCGGTCGATGTCCCGTGTTGGCCCGCCATACCATGCATCTAGCTCATGCAGTGCGGCATTGTAGGCACCAGGACCATCCACAATTTCGGCAATCAACTCATAGGCGTCACCACCTGTCAGCGCTTCTCGCAGACGTGCGAACTTGTGCCCCTCTGACAAGAATGCATCGTCGTCGATGAGTTGCTTAAAGCGCTGCTTCCACCGGCTGTAATCGTTTGTCTTGCCACTGAATCTCGGCAGCTCTAGTGGTCTCAAATGCTGTCTGGACAGCATGCTGTTGTAAATCTGCAGCTGCTCTGGACCAGACAATACTGCTGCAGCGGGTGCTGGCACTGTGGTAGCTGCTGACTTCTGTGCCCTGTGACTGTGTCCCTGCACAGAACTGATGGGTGCAAAACTGGACTGCACAGTCACTGGTTTCCAATTACTGGGTGTGACACCACATGTAACACTAGTACTAGTGGTAGTGGCCACACTGTATGATCTGCCAACACCAGGCCCCAGGTGTGTATTCACTGATGCTGTCACTGGCTGGGTCATGGCAGGTAAGCCATATCTTACTCCTGCCAGTCCTGGTCTGATTGAGCTCACTGGATTGTAGTTCAATGCACTTGGCCCTGGGCCAGGGTTGAGTCTGCTGCGGCTCACCTGAGTGGCTGGATGAATGGTAATCTGCCTCTGGCTCTGGTGACTGGAAGGCTGGGGCCGACTTGGCTGAGCTTGCACAGCCGGCTTAGCTACAGCCAGTACACGACCTGTACTGTTCACACCTTGGTGATGATCCCAGGACACAGAAGCGATCGAGCTGTGGTCACTTCCTGTGCCCTGCGCACCTACTGCAGCTCCAGAGCTATCCACACGGTCTACAGGCACAGGCACTGAACCTAGTAAATCTGCCGCCGCAGTTTGTAGATCCACACTGTTACTCAACTGAACCTTGCTGAGGTCAGGCAAACTCTGAGCGCCATTCTCTGGGCCTTGCTGATCTAGATCGCCTTCTTCCTCCGGACGAGGATCTGCGTCAAAGCCAGCACGACTAAGCGTGACAGCTCCTTGTCTGGGTTTACCAGCTCCGGTATCCAGATTGCTGAGCTCCAGCCTACGTAGAAACTGGGCATGACGCTCCAGCAAACTCGTCGTCAATCTTGGACTCTGAGTTTCCTTGCCTGCACTGGCGATTGGCATCATTGCCTCGGAGCCTGCAACAGAGTGCCGACTCCCAACGGAGGAGAGTTCAAGCGCAACAGCTGCCTTATCTGCTGCTAGGCGCTTCTGAATCACGTCTCTCTGCAACTCCAAGCGTTTCTTCGCCAGTTGCTCCGCTGTCTCCATCTCAAGTTGAGCCAGCTCCTCAGCCGCTTCGAACTCTTTCTCCGCGACTAAGACCTCTAGTTCAGCCGCTTTGCTGGACGTTCTCGAGGCCTTTGAGACACTGTCCCACTCACCAAGCCTAGAAGGCGGCCTACCCTTCGTAGTTCTCGAGCTAATTCTTTTCTCCGACATCGTCGGATCCGGCTCGAAGGACCAGAAAATGTTCCAACTAAATGCACTGCAGCAATCAGTAAAGAACCTACATTACGAAAGGTACGAAGACTGTAAACTAAAACAACTAACTAAGAACATGAGAACAACGGAAGATATAGAAAACGAGCACGGCAGGACAGTGCGTAGATTACTAAACTATTCATGCTCGGATATGGTACGGTGCACATAGAGAGTGTGCTCAGGTTACACACTCAGACATGAATGGTCAAACACTAGACACTGACCTGGATTGGACATCCGTAACAGTGGTCAGTTACGGCTAGGCTATAGCATACAATGCATGTAACAGCCATGAATGAGTCTCAGTCGACCTACCAAGCATGACCAACGCTAATGCACTGGACTACAACTATCAAAACAAAAGAAAGACCGGAATATTCTAGAACAAATCTAACATGTACTACTACTACTACACGTACATGTACTGTACATGTACTACCCATGCCGCTGCATTCCACTCAGTGTAAACTGTACTATGGATATGCAGCGTTGCTATCGACTCGTTGATACCGTGGAATAGTTCGGTAGTAGAAGTAGTGCTTTCATCAATAAGCAGCTTATACTGTACTGGCTTGGATGTCACAGGCTCCCAAGGGTGCATTCAATTACAGTATGGTGTGGATTAGGCGCCTAACCAAATACAATCATTTTAATTTTATAATGTTGTGTGCTCCTAGTCGTTACACTGCTTGCAGTAACTAAGTTTTCTTTTTTAAAAGCATTCCGACTTTCGACATTCTTTTCTTGTTGTATTCTCTTTACTCATGCACAATTTTTAGTTTTTTTTGTGGGCAAGCCAGCCTCTCTGCTACCCAGAACTAGAACTGGTCAGTTTCACGTTAACTTTTAATTTGTTTTCCCTGATGTGTTCTGTACGTGGAGATATATTAAACCTGAGTATTATTTCTAATGAAGCTGTCCTTCTCAATCTGATGTACACTGTACACTGTACAGTAAAACCGACCTCTGCTTTTAGCGACCACCTGCTCTTGAACCGGCGTTTTCCATGCACGGACAGTTCTACACAGACACTGTGGGACCTGTTCTAAAGACCACCTGGCAGTTTAACTTAAAAGCCAGGTCTTGCTGTACACATGATGTACATAGAACCTGACCAAACGGCTATGCCATCATGGCATGGTCACGGTTGATACTGTTGTGACGTTATGTTCCTTTTGCCACTCCATGTTGTTGCTCATCATCAGTCTTGTCAAGATATCAACCACTGTCAGAATGTGCAAGGAGTTAGTTGTACAATCATGTGTATGTATGGAGTGACAGTGGAACGAGTGTCTGGAGGCAATCATGTACAGTAACGGTATCGGTTTAAATATAGCATGGGTGTTTGAAAAACAACTTTCTATTCTTATTTCCGATATTTCTTACACACGATAAATCAAGTGTGACATATCATAATGCAT